GCTGGGCCTGCAAGAGGTTCGGTTTCTCCCAGTTAATACTAATTTCCTGACGCTCGGTGATAAAGGGGCTTGAGAGCGGTGGGGCTGTGGGGAGCCAGGGCACCCTCTTTCCTCTCTGGCGGTCCCGGAGCAGGCGGGGGTTTGGGGAAGGTGAGACGGTGACGCTGAAGCCTTGGAGGGTACCCTGTACTGAAACAACCGGGTCAGGGTCGATAAGCTCGGTCTAAGTGGTGTTTCCTTTGCGCAATAAATCAATTATAAATGTAGCATGATATAGAAAACATGTTTTCTTATCTCTTTGGCTCACTTAGATCGGCTTTATTTAGCTAATAACCTCACGTTGGAATAATGCCTTTGTCTGCTTTAATTGCATTCCAATCCTGTTCACAGTGCTTTGTCAATCATGAGTAAAAAAAAAAACAACCTTCCCTAAAATATTTAACATATTAAAAATTTTGCAGGTGTATATTTGTTTAAATATAGTTTTATAGCTGTAATCTGTCCTCATTACTAAATGAAGTGCTAAATTTAGCGTAAAAGCTGTCAACATGTTCCAATCAACATGTCTTAATGACTGCCAACAAATGGAAATGAGGCTTTCATGGAAAAAAGCTGAAAAGGTACAAATGCAGAACAAGATTAGATCAACTGTTTTGATAAAAGTCCGCTGGTTGCTGGGTTATGTCACAACTTAAATCAACCCACCGTGTTTATGGTATTATTTTAATTGTTAATAGAAATATTGACTAGCTGTGGACGAGGCAACGCTCCTTTGGGGACCTGTTTGTGGTGGTTCCTTTCATTAACGCCTCCCCGTTAGCAACTACGTGTTGAGATCTCCCAGCCAGCCGTTTTTCAAACCAGTTAATGCGTGCCTTGTTAATTCCATCTAATGGAGGTTTTTAATCAAGATGTCAGACGGTGCTAAATCAAGCACCTCACCAAAGTGCATTATTGCCTTTATCAATCAGCTTTCCATTCTTGTAAAAAGAAGATTTTCCTCTTTAATCCGTGTTTGTCTAACAAGGCCTGCTTTCATTGAAACAATGTGGACTTCTCACTCTCTTTTTTTTTTTTCCCCACCCTTCTTTCTTTTTTTAATTTCAAGGTGTCCCAGAAGAATCATTCCTTTATTCTGGCCAAGATTGATGTTAGTGCGTTTCCTGCTTACCCTTGCTAAAATATCGGCTGCTATTGGCAGACTTCCAGTTCTTTCACATTCCCCCTTCACGCTTTTTAATGGTTGTAGGAATTAACATTTGTGGTTTGGAATATGAGAAATGCATTTTGAAGTGGCACCAGCTGACACCAGGTACATTTGCGGCCCTGAATTTAAAATACTATTGATCGTTTACCAGTGAATAAGGAGTTTTCTCACTCTGCAAACTCCCAGGCAGTGCCGTAAGGGTATCCTTGGTTTGCTTTGCTTTAGCTGTCCTGACTGGCAATCAGCTTTTAGACCTGAACAAGGCTGAAGAATCTCATTCTTAGCTTAAGGAAGGTGAGAAATAGCAATGACTGTCTATTTTCCAGGTGTCTCCAGTCTTTTTTTGTTTTTTTTTTTCCAGGTTTTAATTACAAGTGGAAGGCAGGTCTTTGAAATACAGGATGGCTACTCATCAGCTTTCACAGACTAGGCAAAAGAAAAAATCCTCTAAGGTAAAAACCTTGAAATGTGATGGTACTGACAGTCTTGGCTCTCAGTTTTGGACGTGGCACATCTGTGCCTGGTGAGGTGGGAACGCTTTCTGTTGTCTGCACTGTTCTTGCTTGGATTATTTCCAATTTAGAGAGTCCGGGAAGATACAGCATGGGGCTTTGACATGTATTTGACTAAAGAAATGTAGGCTCATTAGGTGTGCGCAGAGCTCTATTAGCTGGAAGAAAAGCAATGAGCTAACAGAGGAACTAAATTTAGTATACTTTCCGCTGAGATTGTTCATGTTAAAATCACACAGTGTTTAGTGTTTACATTAGCTCCAATCGTAGACATGCACTGTTTACAGCTCTGCCTTAAAATCACTCTGAAAACTAGGTCTGCGTACAGCATTGACAGGTTCAGCCTGCTGTCAGATCTCAAAAAAAGCCGTGGCAGGCAGTGAACTTCGGTGCAGCCGTGAACGCCATACCAGCACTGGCACTTGTTTGACGCTGTAGAGCTAAGCTGGCAGAAAACTATACACTTTTTTTTTTTTTAGGGGTGGCTGTCTGTTAAGTGCCAGCATTGGTGCAGTGGAAGGGGTGGGAACGTTCAGCTGTGATAAAAGGGGAGGGAATGGCCACTGCAGTCTGCTTCTGAGTAAATCATGCCAGATCTAACAATAACTATCCTTAATACATTTAATCCCACCCATGCTACACGTTAGTCTTCTCTGTGTAGTATGAAGACCAGAGAAATGTTAAAATTATGTTTCTAAGTTACCTTCTTTTTCCACCTGCTGAGAGTTGTTTCTAAATACAGTCCCCGTGTTACACTAAAATGATGCTATTTTTGACTTTGCCCTTCTTTCTCAGGAATCAGTGTTGTTCCCCAACAAAATTGCTACTGAGCAGCAGTCTGTGGTGCTGGTGAAAAAACTTCTGGCCATCTCTGTATCCTGTATAACGTACATGAGAGGGCTGTTCCCAGAGAGCTCTTACGGAACTCGCTATTTAGATGGTAACACTTTCAATTTGTGCTGAATTCTTACTTCTACTTGCTATATTTTAACTATAATCTGCTTTACATGTTAGCTTCCGGCTGCTC